ATATATATAAACTATAATATATATATATGCATTATATATATATATATATATACAATATAATATATATATATACATATATATATACACATATATATAAATATATATTCATATATATGTATATATATAGATATAGGTATATATATAGATTATATATATATATATACTATGCGTGGATAGCTTGTGGGAAATGTCGGTGGGACGTCTGTAGGTACACACCTAGCTTTATATTGATGTGCGGACATGCATATGAGATATATCGGTCGATACTCAAGTCGTACCACATTCATGAAGGTGAATATACCCAGGTATGTAACTACAAGAATGCAAAGGGTCCATGTACATGTATGTTACTCAAAAGATCTCTATGAACGTATATTGACCATTCGTATATACACACATCGTCACGAATGGACATGAAAGAAATATCAAAAGGAGTACACCTCTTTATATTTCTATATAGATATATGACTTAATATATCAATTATATACGTGCTGTGTTGATTATGTGCTCAGCACTAGAGCATCAGGCAGAGACTAACCAACGTATATGTATGCACACGCGCGAAAGATGAATGGAAATAGCAATAGACATGAACGCATTGCGGCTTCTATTGCTATGACTACTTCACATGCACAACGCTACACTAACACGGATACTTCTCATCTATACTTGACTCTATTCGGGCAATCTACCGAATCAATGACAACAGGTACACAGGTACCATACAATCCTACATACAGCCACGAAAGAATAACAACACAGTCACACAGGTACCATACAATCCTAAATACAGCCACGAATGAATGACAACACAGTCACACAGGTACCATACAATCCTACATACAGCCACGAATGATTGACAACACAGACACACAGGTACCATACAATCGTACATACAGCCACGAATGAATGACAACACAGTCACACAGGTACCGTACAATCCTACATACAGTCACGAATGAATGACAACACAGTCACACAGGTACCGTACAATCCTACATACAGCCACGAATGATTGACAACACAGACACACAGGTACCATACAATCGTACATACAGCCACGAATGAATGGCAACACAGTCACCCAGGCACCATATAACCCTACATACAGCCATGAATGAATGAATGACAACACAGTCACACAGGTACCATACAATCGTACATACAGCCACGAAAGAATGACAACACAGTCACCCAGACACCATACAATCCTACATACAGCCACGAATGAATGACAACACAGTCACACAGGCACCGTACAATCCTACATACAGGCTGCCCTTCGGATTACGTTCATACCTCCACTGTTCTCCCTGAGTTTGGCGTAGATTTCGGGCAGTAGCTCCTCAGCCTCCTTACTAAGAATGGGGTTGATTGATCGTCCGTATTTGATGTATAACTGCATCTCCTCCTTTGTGTACGGTACATCTGTGACCACATTCTGCGCATAAATGCCATCCGTGAACGTGAATGAATGAATATGCATCAGCAAGTACGATAAACTAAGCCACAGGGACACATACGCCACACTCTCGGAGGATGGAATAAGCCAAACAAGTACTAAAACTCTGCGTATACATCGAGCTAACTAACTAGCGAACAAAAAGAAGATACAGCACTAGTGACTGGCTGACAATTTTTTCTTGGTGACACGCAGTGACATATTCACGAATAAGGATGATGGCACAGCAAGTGATGTCGAATAGAAACCGCATACATATACATATCTATACACAACACACACACACACACACACACACACACACACACATATATATATATGTTGCCGGCGACTCTTTTATCGTGTCACTCATATGCTAATTATCCGAGAGACGAAGTCACAGAAATATGATTCTCAGCGCAAGTACAGATAATCTGTAGTAAGATACAAAGTTGGGTTGGCAAGCAATAATACATCAAAGTGCTAAAAAAGTCAAATAGTAGGCTGGTATTCCAGGTAAGTACGCGTACCCTATTCATACGGTAGTTGATGATGTGGCGTGCGATGTTGTAGTCCTGCACTTCCTCACTCTGGTCCGTGACGACGTAGAACAGATCGAAACGCGACAGAATGGCATTGCTCATCAACACATTGGACTGTGTGGGTCCGAAAGCCAAAACAAAATGTACCGTCAGCTAGTGTTATATGATATTCTGCATTGCTAGCCGGGTTATTGCGATTAATTTAGTCAAATATCATGGGGCTGCTAATGGGCTTATTCTGCAGTCTACCAGGCCAATGAGGAGAAAAGCCTTGTGCCTATGTACCGAACTGCCAATAGGCTTATCCCGTAGTCTACCAGGCCAATGAGAAGAAGAGCCTAGTGTCTTTGTACCGAACTGCCAATAGGCTTATCCTACAGTCTACCAGGCTAATGAAGAGAAGAGCCTAGTGCCTATGTACCGCAGCCTGCGCGCTGTGTCTGTTGTCCATAGACAAGGGTGGGGCAACCATAGCAAGAATGCGGGCAGACCAATGGGTATGCTCTATTTTATCGGGGAATGTAATACAATGCTCGATCTTGCTTCGGTTTGGGAACCGTATGATGTGTACATGGATATGGTTGCAATTGTATTTGAACTAAAGACGATACACTGAGAAGCTGTGTGTACAACGTGGTGTGGTATCTGTCTTGTGAAATTCAAAAAACTAAATTAACTAATAAAACGTGATCCAGAATATAAGTAGTGTCATCCACCAATGTAAATCTACAAATACTTGAATAGTGTGTTTAAATTTCAAGCACCTTTCTCCCCAACGTACTCGCCCATGCCGTTGATTGTACTAGAGAAAACCCCACACGGCAATGGATGTAGACCAACAGCTCTAGACTAAACAACAATCACGTTCACGTTCGTATACACATTTGTTGAAGTCATGCGTATGCACACAAATGCATGCTATTCGACCGTAGCATTTGCACATACCCTTAGCGGCTTTGAGAGATCATATCTACCGCCGATAGGGTTGCACGCGGCAAGGATGGAGGTAGCTGCGTTGAGCGTAGCCTTAATACCCGCCTTCGCAATCGAGATAGTCTGCTGTTCCATTGCCTCGTGGATAGCGACCTGTGTGCATAGAGTGTCAAGATGTCAAAGTGTCAAAGGATGTCTAAGTGTCACAGGTATACAATCGGATGTCCGTGGTATATGGTATGGTGGCTAGGTGCCTGTTTTGGAAAGTGCCATTTGTTGCAATGTGCGTGCTATCACGACATACTGGGGACATGCCAGCTGTACCCGCGAATAAGTGGATTAAATTAAGCACAAACAACCCACAAAAGTAACCAAAACTCAGCACATATCGAGAGTTCACAGACACTCATACACACGCACGCGCACACATCAAATTCCAATGAGACACATAACTGGTCGTAATCTAATAAGGCACACACCCATACATAATCCAAGACACACACATACATAATCCAAAAGACACATACTTGGTCTTTCACATCCATCTTATCGAATTCGTCTATACAGCAGATACCATTATCTGCCAACATCAGCGCTCCGGCCTCTATGCAGAACTCGCCTGTGTCTTCGTCTCGTACCACTGACGCGGTCAAACCCGCAGCGGAAGAAGCTTTTCCTGAGGTGTATACTGCCCTGGGTAAGAACTCGACCACGTACCTGGTAGTATATGGGGTGCATTTTGTATATGCGAATCAGTATTAAGTGATATCCCTATCTTAAAAACTCTAAACCCAACATGTACAAATGCCCTTCAAACATACTTTAACGAGATAAACCCTATCGCCACAGCAGCTGTCACGCCCACAACTCACAACGATGAAAACGTTTAGACTGCATGTCACAAGTCTCACTAACGCATGTCACAATGAACTTACTTGAGGAATTGTGACTTGGCCGTACTCGGGTCACCCACAATACAGCAATTGATATCGCCACGGATGCGCGTGTTCTCCAAGGTGGTCTTGTGCACACCCCCCAGCAGCATCAGCAGGATGCCACGCTTGATGTCCAGATGGCCGAACACCTGCATGAGACACACAGGAAAGCACAGGGGCTGATTCAGATGAAACATGAACACCTGCATGAGACACACAGGGAAGGACAAGGGGCTGATTCAGATGAAACACACGAACACCTGCATGAGACACACAGGGAAGCACAAGGGGCTGATTCTGATTAAACACAATCTACATACGATGCCACAGAGAGGCGAAGACAGTTTGTTAAAGCACACGATCTGTTTGATTCTTTTACAACACAGGCATATGTATGCGCCAATGCCAGCATAGACGATACTTGTGCCAGAAACTGGGACGGTAACGTGGTAAGGTGTGTACGTCAATTGGTTGGTACCAGGCCATACACATCAACGGTAGATTCCTTCAGATGCTTGCAGCGACCCAATCAGCAACTTCTGACAGCCCTAGAATGAATACCATCCTTAGTGTGTCCATCGGGCAGCTCAGACGAGCCTGTGCTTTACGCGTGCATGGCACAGATATACCACCTCTCCCCAGCCCACAGCCTACAGCTAAAACACTCGTACATAACGTGCAGTTATATACGCATCCATACACGCACACATATACATATCATCTACATCCATACAAACACACAAATGCATATCGCATACATCCATACACGCACACATATACATAGCTCATAGTGAAGCACATGGCATACCTTCGGACAGATACTTTCGGTCATGTGCTGGTAGATGCGTGGGTTGTCGTTCATCTTCTTGAGGGTCTCTCGCTCGTCTTCAGTCAACTCTTTGACCAAGTCGTCCAGCGATATGTTGTCTCTGATGTTCACTTTGTTATCCTGTATTCGGCCACGGGGAACAAATCCAAATAAGATCACAAATACAGGAAACGTACAGGCAAATTCAGTCGATTCTCCTCCCCGGACGAGAAGGATCATGTTGTCGCAGCCATTCACTCTGATACACAAGATTTAGCTAAGGGATGACAACTAGTCAGCAGTCTGTGCAGAGTGGCATTGAATCTAGGGACTTCACAGTACGAAGAGATGATATGAGAGACTGAAGAAGCGGGTAATATAACATGAATGTATACACCAAATAGTACCTCCTATTCAACTGATAGCATATCGGATGGCGAAGCCTAAGCCTCATCTCGTGCGGGTGGGATTGGTGTACGGATACTTGCTTCAACCCAAGTATAGCCCTTGCACCGTCACTCACATACACACCCCATATATATATAACTATACCTACAAATTGACACACTCGCATTGAACGGGCGAGTGTGGTTGAGAGCTGCGTTTGACCCACAGATTGCTAGTGTAACCGAAAAGCGCATGATCGGGCCAGATCCCGCCTACCCAGCCGATACAAGCTTCACAAACCATCAGAAGCTTCGGTAACTTCTCGCACACGATTTTAACTGACCAAGATAAAATCGACATTCACACAAACGCACATACCTAGCACGCATACATGCCAAACCAAAAAGACGCATATAGCGTAGGCCCGATCACGCATACTCAGCCGAGACACACGTCAAACACTATCTTTGACGTCTGCACCTCTCAAACAACACAAACCCACAAAGACAAACCGGCTCACACTTATCAACTTCTATATACAACCACACACACACACAGGTACGCCTACAACAAGCTACGCACAAACAAAAAAACGCAGCTATCGCAATACATGCACGCACACACGCACACACACAGCACCTAGACATACTCTCACATCGGACGACTGCACTGTGCACGCCAGAAAGCACATGGTGTAGTCCAAGTCACGCATGCCCAGCATCTTCAGCCCTCGCACACCATCGCTCGCCCCTGCGCCGTCGCCTTTGGTACGGCCACCGCCTCTCATCATGTTGTGCACATTCGGAAGCACAATGTATGCGCCCGTGAAGACCACCTTGTCTCCGGGTTTGGCCTTGTCGACGGCTTCGTGGCGAATAACTATGTTCAGACTGTGATAGGTAGGGGTGGGAGGATGTCAGTGTATGTGTGTATATATGTCAGTGGGTGTGTGTGTATATAGTCAGGAGGTATATATGTCTGTGGGAGGAAAGGGGGGCAGGGTTGCGCCTGACAGTAATGTGTGTGTGTGTTGCAAATAGCTGTGTTTGTATCTGTGCGCGTGACCTGGCGGAATTAACTCAATTGATGATAGGACGAAGGGTGTATCGTGTGAAAGCGTGCTTCGCGTGTAAGTGTGTGCATATATGTTCGTGTGGTGTGTTCGACATTGTTCAGGTTGTGGTGCGGTAAGGTATGTAGTAGTTAACGTATGTCTGTGAATCCACTCGAGTGTTTTTCTTGCGGCGTATGCGTTAACCATTGAGCAGCGATCGCATGACTGTAGTGGTGTGCACGGCTCAACCACGCGTCTGTCTTACGGTAGGTAGCATCATTTGGTCGACAGACATAGGTGGGTAGACATCTCCTTTGCACCTGTGCATAGTCACCCGTGGATATATAAGAAACGATCTGCCCGCACCAGTAGACACTACGCGTACCTACATAAACATCTAATCACACACATGACAACATACACCTACTAGCCTCTCTGTACCTACCTTCTGGGCATACTTCCGGACGGAATCTCGTCCGCATTCTCCTGGATGCGTACCCGCTGCCAGTCCACAAATTGGGATTGTTCCACCACTAACGCGAACGCTAACCGATTGGTACAGTTTTGACTCGAACACATCACCGGCTGTGATAGAGTGAACATGTTGTTAGCAGCGAAACTACAGGGAGTGGCATGGACTGCATAAGGTCATGGCTTGACAGGCTGAGGGAATGTTGAGCTACACCGCACTGAGTGCTATGGTCTTGTGACCACAGAATGTAAAGTGAGTGGACTACTGCTTAAACATTGCACACAGTGTGATGTATCGACAGGCGTTCTTCAATACCAATACGACGCACACTCAGCAATCAGTATATGTGTGGACATACGCATTACTTACGCACTGCACGGTACACAGATCCCGTGTATAAACGTATATGAACACTGAGCAAAGCTTTGAACACCCACCTCAGTGTATCTGAACTGCTGCTCTACATTGTGGATGAGAGTGTCGCATTCGAGGCAGCGGAACGTGGCCATGAACAGTTCCGGTTTGACATCGGACGTGCGCACTACAGTGCCACTGATGGACTCCAGTCGACCCAAAACTTCTGTGTTTAATTCACGCACCCTGCACACGCACGAGCGAATATTCGCATGGTAAGCATGGATTTAGCTTCCGCACTGGGTACATGCATAAGAATAAAAGAATTTTGTACAGGTGCACCTGAACACATAAATCGATCATATGGGTAGCTTTTTGTCAGTTCCGGCATTTATTTTTTGAGGGACGCACCACTATCTGATCCGAGCACACACACACACACACACACACACACACACACACACGCATATATATATATATATATATTGGTTGCAGTTTCCGGGAAACATCTAGCATATAAGAATTACGCCAATTACAGGTACACTGCAAAAATCACAGAGTGTCAAATTGCGCAATCCCGCCAAACCCAGAATAGAAACCAAGTACATTTGCACTAACCATACGCCCGTGTGCACGACATATGCATCGACTTGTACCAACACAATTCTGGCTCAATGCGCGTCTGGATATACCCAAACTCACCCCTCATTCACAAAGGATCAGATAGCCTGTACACATATCTGCCAAATTATAAAGTAATAGACGTACATTTGACTGAGAACTAAACTTTAACCACATACATTGACAAGCAACTGAACGCTAACCACTTAGCTTTGACTAGCAACTAAACGTTGACCACATACACTTGACTAACACCTGAACGTTAACCACTTACATTTTGACCTTGTATACGTCTGGCTGGGAATAGAAACTGACCCAATAGCTCCTCTCCTCGTCATCATCGCCCATGTCCTCGGCTGCGCTCTCTTTAACATATTCCTTCGCCGCAGCATGGATGTAAGGTTGAAATCTAACGCAGTGATACGAGAACACAATGAACCAGAGAGTTGAGTCTTCATGCAGTTCTCAGGACGTTCCGCATATCCCACGAGAGTGCGCATGCTTAGTTACTATATGCATGGGGGTGCGTAGACCAACACTCGGTAAATCCATAGAGCCGTAGATGGATAATCGTGGATAGGTCGTATGTTACATATGAATGGATACCTACAAGCTATCGCGCTTTGTGAGGCTCGTGGATTTGTTCATACGTCTATTGTTCATGGCATATGTACGGCGGTGTCAACGGATCTGCATGCTTGTGTAAGCCGACAGATCGGTAAGTAACGACAGCACACCGGCTATTTTACCCACGCACGTATTTCCAAAACGCCATAGACAAGGCAAGAATCGGTACTCAACGGGTGGGCATGTGCACAAAACTGGATGTGACAGACTTCATGAAGGCATATCTTATGTAAATACGCTAATTTCAATACGTGCCTGTATGTACACACACACACACATAATCATGTATGCGTATGCAAACACATACACTTACACAGACACAAATAGAAATACACACACACAGGCATATATATACATATACATATCTATATATATATATATATATATATATATGTATGTGTGTGTACGTGTGTACATACATACTATACATACATACATATACATATAATACTAATATAACACACACACTACACACTATATATATATAATAGTACTTATACTATATTATTATTCGTCAGTATATATATATATATAATATATATTACTTA